GGCTTTTTTCTTTTTGCTTATGTGGTGCTGGGGAATCGAACCCAGGGCCTCAGGCATGCAAGGCAAGTGCTCTACCACTGAGCCACCTTCCCAGCCCTATGACAATATTCTTTCTTCTCTCATCATCTTCAGGCAGAGAAGATGAGACTGCAGGGACTCTTCAGAGAATAGAGGGTTAAACTAGTTTCCTGGATCATGTGAACAAAGGCAAGAGGCTGATAGCTTAGAATGGGTTCCAGACCAGGCTTATGGCCTACCTTAGACACTTGGGTGTCTATATTTATAGACCTGTGTCCTCTTGGAGGGTGTAGACTTTGCAAGATGGATTCTAATCCTACGATCCTCTACAAACACTTGAAAACATTCTGTGGCTTAAGAGGGCTTGTAAGATGGGACCAGCTGAACACAATCTGCTTATGACATCCACAACCCCTTGGCCGCAGCCCCAGAGCCTTGAGTCCTTACCTCCAACCAACTGGAAAGCACTGCTGAGGACATCCAGGGAGCACACAAACAAGTAGAGAAAGCCCAGGAGCAGAATGAATTTCCCAATTCCTTGCAAGATACAGAGAATCTTCCCTCTGGTGTCCCTCTCTGCAGAGAAGAGTCAGGAAAGGGGTTTTAGTGGGTGCAACTCTGATTAGACTAGCAGTGAGCTCCCCTCCCTCCCTCCCTCCCCTCCCCTGCCAGGGCCATGCAGTGTTTATGGGTCTAAAGAGCCTGGATGGGCTGTGTCCACTGCTGCAGCTTAAGTTGCTTTATTGAATCTCCACTCCCACCCAGCCCATTTCTAAAGAAGAAATGCTCTGGGAAGAATGCTCTGGGCTCCAGGACACAAACAGCAGACCAGACTCCACGCTCAGTTGAACCACAGTGTCGTGGTAGGGGAGGAGATAGGGGAGCAGTTTTAGAGCACTTACCATCTCTAAGTACAGGGTCAGCACTAATGGCTACAAAGCACTTTCTAGGAGACTATATATAGTGATCACAGGCACCCTTGGTGGAGCCATACTGTTGGTCTCCATGCATCCTTGGCTGTTTTCTCTGCTTCCCTTCAAACTGATTCTTGCCTCCTCCTCCTCCCACTGACCACCCCCCACTACCTCCTGCTTGCTAGATTTCTGGTTTGCAGGCTGGGGTGCTTCTAGCCAATGCCTGAGAAAGAGAGGGGCATTTTCTCACATGCCAACTAGTCTTGCTGAACCTTCTCTGCTTCAGAAGGCTGAGACCTGAAAAATCATGGTTCAAAGCCAGCCCAGGCAGGAAAGTCCATGAGCTGTATCTCCAACCAACATGAAGCCAGAAGTGGAGCTGTGGCTCAAGTGGTAGAGTGCCAGCCTTGAGCAAAAAAGCTCAAGGATAGCACTCAAGCCCTGAATTCAAGCCCCACTACTGACCAACAAAAGAGGAAAGAGAGAAAGAGAAAAAGAAAGGAAAGGGAAGGGAAGGGAAGGGAAGATGGATGAAGAGGAAGGAAGGGAGGGAGGGAGGGAGGAGTGGGAAGGAGAGGGGAGGGGAGGGGAGGTCTTGTTACTACAATAGTGACTGGTCAAGACTCCAGGGCCTGGCACATTGGTTGAAGCAAATAACAAACCGTCTCAATTGTCAAATACTTCGAGAGTCTCAAAGAGTGACACACAGGAGATGAGGGATGTGGCCCCCACCGGCTCCCACTGGCCTCCAGCTTACCTGACCACTTGATCCCAGTGTCTCGGAGCTCCGGCATATCCCAGGGGTCCACGTCAGTGGTCTCCTCCACCAGGGTCGCCGTGGAGTAGGAAGGCAATAGTTCAATCTTGGGTACTGGAGTCTCACTGCCATCTGCCCAAAAGAAGCAACGAGGCCAGCTGAGTAAGCAGACCTAGGTCTCAGGCCTCAGACCCAGGGAGACTCAGTCCCTGTTGGGAGGAAGAGGGGGGTGCATTGGACTTACTTTTGATGATGTCTTTGGCTGCGGAGGCTGACTGTGGATTTGAACCCCCTTCGATGTATTTATTGGGGTTTGGCTGGGCATTTTCCAACTCTGGCCAAGGAGCCATGGTCTGTGGATAGGAAGACAGAACTTAAAGGAGCAGTTGACAGTTTCAAAGTTTCTACTCTGGGAGCAGAGGGACGAGCACTGTGCTTTATCCTGCTAAGTGGGAATACCACGTTTTGCTGTTTAGAGTCCTTCCTGGAAGATCGAAAGCTGTTACTAAATGGAGACCATTCTACTCTAGAAGTACAACACTGTCTCTCTTGGGTTTGTCTAAGTCCTGTCTGTGTCGCCTGGGCTGATTCAGACAAGGGATGCAAATCCATCTATCATCGGTATCATTTCATGGTAAGATCAGGTCCTTAAGATCCCTCCCCAACTGTTCAGATCATATACAGGTCACTGCTGATTTGCCCGGCTCAGTGTACAGAAACAGAGTGTTATTTACAGCACAGTACACATAATCTATGCTGGTTCAACCTATCATCTGGGCCTTTGGTGACACCAGTGGCATGTCGGGCCTGGTTTAAAATCCTGCCATGTCAGCCAGTAGGTGCATAGGCAGGCTAGATCCTTTTATCCTTGAGTAAAGGGTATCACTTTCCCATTTGTAAGATGGTTATGAGATTAATGATGAGATTAAGGGCCTGGGAAGTGCCTGGCATGGAGCCTGCTTTTGATTAATAGCAATTATTACTGTGCCATGCTGCCTGGGTTAATAACCCTTTATCAGAACACTGTCTTCCGCAAGCTTCTAGACTTCCTTGTCTTTTCCACAATGCCTCTCTCAGTGAGCCTGGCTCTTGACACACTTGAAGTTCACTCTGTGCAGTCTCTGTCCTTCGACAGGTTCAGACAAAGCAATTCAAAGAACAGAAAGTCTCAGAATTGTACTGGCTAAAATTCAAGGGTTCAGTCTGGCATATGCAAAGTAAGATTGACAAGTATCCCGAGTGCCAGTAAAACTATTTTTTCAAAATAATGATACACTGTGCTGGAGAAGATGTGATGAGATGAACATTTCTGGAAGATCTAAAAACAGTTGGCAAGCGCCCACCATAGCTTACATTCATTCATCCTGGCACTCTGCCCGACTCGTTTCACTACTAAGAACTGGGAAGCCAGGAATAGTAACTCTCAGAAGATCAGAAATGTTGTTCAGATCAATTTGGAGAGGACTTCCCAGAATCTGGGTCAGTCTCCTTTCCTCTTCCTGTATTAGTCTATTTCCTGCCTACCAGAGTACAAGCACTACCAAGAATGGGACTGTGTCTCATTTGTTGCTGTGCCTCAGGGTCTGGAAGGTAGAGACAATGCCCAACAAATACTTATTGAAGGTATGGAAGCATGGCTCAAGTGGTAGAGTGCCTACCTGGCAATTGACAGGACCTGAGTTCAAACTCCAATATCACCACAAACAACCATAAAAACTAATTGAAAATGAGTGCAACCCAGACCAAAGGATTTGTGTGCCATTAAAAGATTCTAAGGGGGCTGGGAATGTGGCTTAGTGGTAGAGTGCTTGCTTAGCATGCATGAAGCCCTGGGTTCTATTCCTCAGTACCACATAAACAGAAGAAGCTGTAAGTGGTACTATGGCTCAAGTGGTAAGGTGCTATACCCTTAAGCAAAATGTTCAGGGACAGTGCCCAGGCCCTGAGTTTAAGCCCCAGGACTGGCAAAAAACAAAGTAATTAAATAAATAAAAATAAAAAGATTCTAAGGAAAATAGACTACAAAGAGAAGACATTTTTGCCCCTGTCTCCGCATAATCTCAACAAAGTAAACAGGAGCCAAAACTGTTCCGCAGGTAAGTGGAAAAATGATAGCTGCTTTTTCCTGCTGGGATTTCCAGATTTAACTATGACAGCAGCTGCCACGGTGCTCTCCCCATCCTAAGCCTATATTCCTCAAATGCTTACTTCACTGTTGGCATTCCTGCCATCAATCATGGTGACTGACTGCCTGCAAATTCCACCAGCTCCACCTGGGAGCCTCTCACCACCATGCAGCTCCTGCTCAGGTGAGCCAAGCACCTACTTTGGCCAGATCTCACAAGCAAGCTTTGATGCAAATGAGTCTGACTCCCATTTTTTTTTCTTTTTTCCTTTTCTTTTCTCTTTTTTTTTTTTTTT